TACCTTAAGAATTTCTTCCTCCTCTATTTTTTCCTTTTCATATCTGTTTCTCTTGCTTGCGGGTAAATTCAACTCTGCTTTAGTTTCTTCGCCTTCATCGCTACTGCTTTCTTCATCTATGTTTGACGCACTCGCAGCTGGCGCATCTCTGGACGAGGAAGCTACTGCGTTTGGTTCGAAACCAACGTTCATCAGATTGTTCATTGAGAATCGATCTGACTGCCAGTTAAAACTACTGGCCTGTTTCAACTGAGAGAAGATGTCTTCGTTTTGATCGCTGGCCGCCATCACAGGCATTCGCTCGGTTGCATCTTCACTCACTGGAAGCAGTTCGATTTCAGCCAGTGATGTCTCCCCCTTCCATTTGCCTTAAAAACAAATTTCTTACACTAAATGCCCCCTTTTCTTAATTAGCTTAAAGCTACATTTTACATAAAATATTAATAAACGCTCAGTAGTCCAAAACGGCACTTCAACATGTACCTGACTGTAACATTGCTCCTTGTTGCCTAAAAGAACATTTAAGCACACTGAAACTCAAAGGTAATTGAGCAATTAAGATCTAGATGCAATATGAATCGTTTTCTTCACAAAACCATTTGGGTCGATGTGATTTTTCGAAAATCGTTATTCCTCACATATTAAATAAGAATTAACGAAATGGAGTGTTTTAAAAACAGCATGTATCGTACAAAACCAGATTTCACCATTATTTTACAACAAACTGTTTTTACAGCGGGCACCCTAGACAATAACAGCATTTGCTACAAATAAATTGGGTATTGGATAAACTAAGTGAACGTTCATGATTTCAGAGGATGAGCGCACATTTACGATAAAATAATGATAATAAGAAATCGAAGGATTTGCAGTCGTAAAACAAGACTAAGTGGTGCTTGCGATAACTACAGAAAATTCACCATGAAGAAAAATATCTCGCATAAAAGCAGATTGTGCTTAACATAGAGCTGATCCAAAATAATGTCGTATTATTCCGTTTTGGTTAGAACTCAAAACGTCAAGGAGCGTAATAACATCACAAAGATCATGCACTAACATATGGCACCTGAAAGAGGCATCATCTTAGAAACGATGGGGCATTAACAATACCGTTCAGAGAACGTGCCTGAGAATGACCAATGCATCATCTATTTCGACCA